TATTCATAAGTTTAATTAATATAGCCTGGAAGTAATGCATATTTATGAGTACATAGATCTACATGTACATAAAATATTTTTGAAGTGACTGAAGTGAAAAGACTTAGAAAATGGTAGTTTTCTATTATCTTAGCTTTAGCCCCCCAGAAGTGACCCTGAGGCAAGATTTGAGAGCAAGTAGTTTATTTGGAAAAGTGTAGGAAACGCCATTAAGAGGAGAGGGAAAGGAAGATTGGAAAAAAGGCAGCCACCAAGGGTATGCTACTCACTCAGCCAGGATGGACTCCTACAACTCGAAACTACAGGAAAATTCCAGAAAATGGTTCAGAGCGTTTGACTCACAATTACGCTCTGGACATCTATTAGTTCCTAGTTAAGGACTCCTCTCGGGACAAGTTAATATTCAGATATTGCTGGGCTGCCATGCCTAAAAGTGGGGTCTAGAGAGAAGTCTCATTCAAAAAGATGCAATTGTTGGCAGTTGGATTTGGTAAGACCTTAAGGATTTGGGTGAGGGATGGACAGTCTCTGCTACATTTACAGGACGAGTGGAAACTGGTTTGTAAAGAAATGGGGCTGCTAAACTTTGAGGACACCACTGTCTATGCAGACTGAGAGCAGCAGTGGATGACGTTCAAGGCAGAGCTAGTGGACTTCTTTATGTGAGTTCCTCAAGAGAGTAGGCTCAGGTGGGATAGGGATGGAGGTTTAGGCTACCAGCAGAAGCAGACTGAAGATGGGGGGCATTATGACATAGGAGGATTCAGACTGTGACGCCTTTCCTGAGTTAGAATGCCCATTTATCTACTAGAAATCACACCGAGCATAGAAGTGGGTGTGAAAATCACTTTATCTGTGGCACAAAGTCCTATAGCAGGAGTCACTTCAAAAGAAGGAGGTCTGAATGCGATCAGAGATGTCTGGGTCAATATGCCCTTCTTTCAGCCCAAGGAGGTTGAAAAGGAAGGCAGTGATCGATAAGCCCTGGAGGTTTGATCCTATATCTTCTACTGTTTAAAAAAAGATAAGACCAACAGTGTTGGGGGAATAGAAGTGGGAGTCGTCATGATCAGAATCTCTAAAGTGGATCTGATATGGTATAATCTCTCCTTGCATTGTATTGTGTGTGTATGTGTCTTCTCTAGAGAGCTGGCAGATGGGAAAGTTAACACTGTCAAAGCCTGACATATTGCACAAGGCTCTTGTTCATCTGATACAGGTTAGTTGCTGATGCATTGCTAGAGAAGGTCTGCACTTTAGGCTTTGCTGAATGTCCCCCACCAGGACATGCACGAGGATTTGTGTGTGTCATTCTTCCTTATTGGAAAGTTTCTGAGTTTTTCCTGACTTTTTGCTGCCCTGCAATGAGTTCCCTGAGAAGGTAACTAGGGGCTGATTACTCTTTAACATATCAAATTGCATGGTCTGAGATGTTCTGTTCTTTTTCTTTTTCCTATCCTGTATTTAGGTATAGGCAGAGAAGCTCTGAAACAAAAATGTCAGAATATCTTGATACTTTTTATCTGGGAAAAACTGTAGGGCCGCATCATGACGCTCGCTTATACTTTTATCTTCTCGGTAACTGAATTGTGTGCATGGAAAGACAGGGGAAAGGTGTATCGGGCTGGATCCAGTCAAGAGACAAAATGCTGCACCAGTTATTTTCACAGGAAGAATTAATATAAAGAATTGTGAGCTGTGCATCAGACCATCCAAGGGGTACAAACGGGTACAGTGGGTCACAGAGGTAGAGAACTGCAGAAAGCAGCTGTGCACCCTACTGGGGTTGGGAAAGGCGAGAGTAAAGGAAAAATTTTCAAGTAAGAGGTATGATTGAAATATATTGTACACATTGGAACTCCCCAAAAGCGTGAAACTGGGGGAAGGATGGGCGGAGGTAGCGATGGATGGATTAAAAATAATCAAATTATGTGATGTGCTTGTATGACTCTGCCAACATGAAGTCCATTCAGCTGCAAAACAAATATACACTAATAAAAAAGACACGGAAAAGAATTTGCTATACTTTCCCCAAACAGAGCAAAATTTAAAATCTGAGGGCTAAGCTCTGCGGAGGAGGAATGCAGACATCCTAAGCTGAGGCCACGGGATAGCGGCTTATTCTGAGTCTTTGAAGAGGTACAATGAGATTGATAGTGATTGGGATCAACTGCTCTTCCTGGAAGCAATTCTGCTGCTAGAGGAGTAGTAGTACCAGGATGGCGCTAGCAGGAAGCAAATTAGGAGCCTGAGCAGAGCTAAGCCAGTATCTTCCTCCTGGCGTCCACAGTCACACTCTGGCACCCCCTACCAACAGAGCCTGACAAGGAGCCAGAAGGCTCAGGAGGGAGGTGATATGCAGAATCCAGTCAAAACGCAGGGTGAGTTTGGCGCCCAGGGGCGATTATGTTAAAACAAAACAAAACTCAGAGCATGTGTGTACAGGAGAAAGGAAGGAGGAGAAGAAAGAGAAGGAGGCAGAATGTGTGCATGTGAGAGCACTAGTGAGAACACAAATATGTACAACAGCTGCGCTAAGGATGGCTACTCAGTAGCCTGTATATAGGTAACATTTGAGTTCTGCAGGAATAACACTGAGGACCCTTATTTAGCTGAGGGGGAAAGGGTGTTAGGTTGCTAAAATCAGGGCATTAGAGTAAAATCGCCTATAAACAGTAGAATCGTGCACTGAGACTATGAAAGCCCACTGGGAGGAGAAAACAGGTTTTTGTCCTTCATCTTATGTTCACTCTGTGATGCGTGTATGCACAGAGTCCAATGCAAGTGGAAAAGCATTCCTCAACCATTTATATTATTGGTTTCTCTTCCTCTCTTCTACTGCATGGAGAGAAGAATTCACATAAAAATATGTGTTTGTGTGAGACAACTTCACTCTAAATCGTACCGAACATGTGCCAAGCACTTTGCCTCATACACTTCATTACTTAATGATTTCTTTGACTCTAGAAATATTTCTGTGTCTCCTTAACAGAAAAGAGATCAGATGTGCAAGAAGGTTAACTAATGAGATGTGAGGATGTTAGCACAGCCAGTGAAAAATAGGACTGAATTTCAAGCTCGGGTGTGTCTTATTGTAAAGCCTGTGCTCTTGTGTGTTGTTGTTAACAGCACCCTGCTTCCCACTATGAATATGATGCCATGACCTCATGTCTAAGTCACCATCATCTCCACCAGCCAAGGCTCCAGGCCTGTGTGAAGTGCTCTCTCTGATAAGCTTGCACCATCCAAGGTAGTAGCCACTGGAAACATGTGGTTAAGTTTAAATTAATTAAAAGTTCGTCAAACTCCAAATTCAGTTCCTTGGTCAGAGTAGATTCCTTTAGAGAGGACTCCACTGCTATAGCTGACTAGTGGCCACCATATGAGGCAGAACAGGACATTTCCATCATCACAGAAAGTTCTGGAGCAAGTACCTCTGCAGCGAGTAACAGCCTGACTCCGTAACCTAGTTTCTGAACCAAGCTGTACAGTTTAGTAGTTGTGCATTCATGCAGGTTATTTAATGTCTTTGTGCTTTAGTTGCTGCATTTATAAACAGAGATAGTTAAGGGATTAACTATCATGGGATTAGAGGTGTAATTGAGGCACTGTCTGCAGTTATTAGCCTGGAGCCCAGAGAGTGATAATTTGTGTTTGGAGTGCTTTGAAGAGGTAGAGTCCTATGTTAACTCATAAAATTGTGTTATTTAGCATGTATTTTTATTTATTTATTTAAGTACCGGGGATTGAACTCGGGCCCTTGTGCATGCAAGGCAGGCAGCGACACAACTGAGCTAAATCCCTGGCCCTAGAATGTATTTTTATAATACATCTTATATGCTAGATTCTTGTCTAAAACCTTTACATATATGTGACATTATCATAATTCTCTTCCTCCTGCTTCACAGTCCTTCCTAGTTTTCTCATAACAGAGATGGAGAATATTATGTTAGAACTCAGAGACCCTTTCCTCCCTGAGGTGACATGTGTTTACAACTTTCAATTCACGTATTTAAATGTAATGTATAAATGAACGATCTGGAAAAAAATGATTAGGGGTTAAGAAGAGGAAGGGATTACTCTTAGTCAAGAGGATCATGAGACACTTCCTTGATGAGATAATACTGCAAATGGTACTTGGAGGTCAGTAGGATATGGGCCTATGGGGCAGGGGAAAAGGATGCAGGACAGCAGGAAGCAAGGCTCTCACAGGATTAGGGGGCCATGAGTACTCGCAGTGAAGACCCAAGAGGGAGAGAGCCGTTCATGTGTGGAGCAGGGTTTTGTCATCGACATTGTTTAAACTTGCCAGTGCATAGTCATATCTAAAAGAGACATAGGTTCTTAGTTCTATTAGTGCATTTAATATTCTACCTATAAGGCCTCTGCTTTATTATGTGTGTCCAAGACAGACCATACCATGTGGCTTTGGTATGCCACTGGTAACTGGGTTTGTTTGGATAAGTATCTTTGAATTTCCTTCTATTTTTTTTTTTTCCCCTTGGATAGTGCTTCTATATTCTATGAATCCCAGCCTGAGTTCTTTGGTATGTGTCACCCACCCTGGGCTCTGAAAAGAAGGGTTCTATGAAGGACCAAGGGGGCAATGCTTGGCTTTCCATGAGCTGGGAGAAAAGAGAATACCAGGTGGAATCAGTGTCCCTCACTTTCCAGGTCTGGAATTCTGTCCCAGGCGGAGAGCCTGACAGGGATGGAAACTTTTCCTCAGAGCTAAATGATGTCTTAGAGTCAACAGGCAATGCTAGATTGAACCAAAAGGACATGGAACATGGGATTGAAGAACCTGCTTAGAACTTTTGTTGCTTGGTGGAAAGCAGAGAATGGGATCACCTGAACATTGAAATCACTAATGAGAAGACCATGTGGTTGATATCCACCCTACCCCAGTCCTCTGGTCTCTCCCTGACTACTCCTCCAGGGCAAAGGCACAGAAAGACCTCTTTCTAATTTTCATTTGCATTTTACTCTCTGTTATGTAGTATTTCAGTGACAGGACCTGCTCAGGAGAGTTGGGGCAAGGCTGGCTGAGGTTCTCAAGGAGCTGAGCTTTGAGTTCAGGTATCCACATGGCAGTGGAATGATGCCTCCTGACCTTTCAGACCTTTGGGACCTCTCGGAGGTCTTAGAAATCATCTCAAGCCTCCAGTCCAGGATGCGACTGCCTAGGGAAATCCCAGGGAAAGGTGGCAGGTAGAGTATCCTTTCTGAGTTTTACTCTCTTGTCCTCCTTTCACTCTTTTCTGTGTGTCTATGTTCTGCGATGTCTTCTCCTTGAGATTCTGTAGCTGATGATGCCAGGTTATTTATTTTATGTTCTTGTCAACAGAGATAGTGTGGACTGCAAGGTGATGGATGCCTCAGTGAGCTCACTGCATGACCTCCAAGATTCCACATCACTGGCTGTTCCAAGGCTTATGCTACCCTTCCAGAGAGGCGGCAAGAAGGAAGCTTGAGCAGGTGAGAACCCATCCACTCTTCCCTCTGCCCCTGACTCCATCATCCTTTAGTTATCTGATTGTTTCAGCCCATGTCTGATGGGCCTTCTGCTGTGTGTTCTTTTACAGGGCCCATTCCTTGGCCAGAGAGAGGATGGTTCTGGGAGCTCCTGAAGCACACTGAGGAAGGTGCTGCTCTTGCATAGGACAGACTCATAGCTGCCTGAGCCAAGAAGCACATAGTGTGGAACTACAGCCGCTCATCCTTTCAGACTGAAGTTCTCGCCGTGACAGTTCTGAATTGGACTGTTTTTCCTTTGTTGTCACTTGCATAACACACAGTTCTCTGTGACTTTGACTGATTTTCTTTTTTTTCTGTCTATCTCTTTTTGTGGGGGACTGGGACTTATAAAAAGGAATTTCTTCAAATGGTATAATTCTGTGATGAAATTAGCTTTGTTTATGTACTTAGGAAATTTCTGATTTGCAGTTCTATGTCAATAAGTAAAGAGGGCTATGTAGTTTGATTTGTTTCTTACCTATTTTTAGATTTAAAAATATTTTTCCTATTTTAAAGTTTGGATTCAGGTAATGACCCGAGTCACATAGCTACTAAAAAGATCCCTGTGTGGTAGTGGTTGGAGTTCAAATATAATCAAACATACTTTATACCTGGGGCTCTTGCACACTATTTGATATAAATATTATATACAAAGGAGCATAAACCATACAGATTGAAATTTAATTCCTCTCTGATCCTGAAACTAGAGTGGCAAAAAAAATTATGAATATCAAAAGTAGCTTCAGATATACCAAATGCGAGCTAATCAACATTAGAATGTTGGAAAGTTTCAAAAAATCACTGTGTAAGACAAAGCAGGAAATGGAGAATGATCAGTGACATCCACAGTGTTGCTCAGGTGACTCTGTGGCTTTGGTCTACTTTGAGAGAGGCAAAGAACAAGGCAAATTTCTGTGGTTAGGTTTACAGAAACTGTAGTATTTCGGACTGTCCTGTAACTGTGCCTACCTTCCAATAAAATGTTTTCAGTTGACTCGGCAACAATGTCTGTTAATTTCCTACAAAACTGTGTTCTTAGTGGTTTTGTAAGAAAGTCCAGCACAGACCTACAAGTGGTTTACCTGCCAAAGATCTCAGCTGGGTCTAGAGTTATTGCTCTTCTCGAAGTTGCATCAGAGCTATGTGTTTTCTATACATAGAGTTGGAGTTGTGTGACTACCTTCTCTACTCTTCATGTCATAGAGAACTCTGCAAGTGTGTAGTCAGGGCATAGTCCCTAATGTTGGTGACTATCTGCCATTCTTCTCTAATTCTGGAGTTGTGTTTATTCTGTGAGACTCTCAGGCCACAAACTCTGTGAACCTCAGTTTCCTCATATACAAGAGAAAAACAATACTTCTACGGTTATGGTGATAAGTACCAGGGGAGGACATCACACAAATACACAAATGATACTTTACACATGGTAAACAGGTTAAAACGTGACAGCACTCAATAAATGTTGCTTATTTTATTGTTAACGAAGAGTTAACTTTTAAATAACTTATATTAGGCCTTTAAGAACACCAAGTAACTTCTGAGTAGCTTCCAAGGCCTCCTCACTTAAAGCCGTTGGAAAGAAATATGAACATTCACAGGACAAAGTCAAGAGACAAGAATTCCTACCTGGGCCACAAGGCCAAATACCTCAGTTCTGTAGTTCTTCCTTCTGTGATACAGGGCAGATGTCTTTTGTGCCTCACAGAGATGACGCCATCTCTTTCACAGAAAGTGATTAACCATGCATATGGACATCTGGGACACTACCTGTCTTATTTACTTTCTCACTGCTGGGACAAAATACCCAACACCCACAAGTTAAAGAGGAAAGGTTTATTTCATCTCAAAGTTTGTAGAGGTTTCAGTCAAGAGTTGGCTGGTTCCAAGATGGAGAAGCATTTACGAGGGGCATTGCAGAGGCAAAACAGTTCATGGGATGGCAGGCAGGAAGCAAACGTCCTTCTTTCTCTTTTCATCCCATTCAGGCTTCAAGCATATTGGTTAGTGCCATCCACACTCAGGGTGTCCATCACCCACACCCAGAAAGAACTATGGTAAACCAATCAGTGGAATACTCTAGTATCACGCACCCATGATCCAGTTACTCCCCAACTCGCTCTTACGAGTACGTGAGGGTTTGGGGGGACATCTAGATATAAACCATAATAACACTACCTTTCCAACCTGTCTGCAACATCAGGCCTCTGCCATCCCAGCGCTGGGGAGTCTCCCCCTCAATACCGACCAGTTCTCATTCACTGTGAGCAATACTTCAACCCACTGAAGGCCTCATCAGCCTGCATCTGGTACTTTAACAAAAAGCACTTTGGAGAAAATCCAGCTCTCACCAGCACTACACCTGAGTTTTTGTGATAACCATAATGTGAAGCAGAGACAAGAGCTAAGATCATTCACTTCATGCTGGGTGTCAAGTACCAACAGTTTTTCTCTGATTTCCATAGTGTGAAGGCCAGTCCCATAGGTATTATTTCTTGACTTTGAGACATGAAGTGATTCAAATGGTGGCAATAATTGCAGACAGAAGTAATTATGGTGTAATCACTATATAGTAGGCACCAAGAAAGCATTTACAAGCATTGGCTCACTTATTAGAGTAGTCTCCTGAAGCGGGGTATTCTCACAACCCTATTACCTACGGGAGAAACTGAGGCATGCAGTGGATAAGTAACTGGGGCCAGGCCACTTGGTTCGTAAGAGACAGAGCTGGAAAGAACCAGGTCTGCCTCCTCTCAAGTTTGAGCTTTTCACCATCGTACTCAGCTGCTTCCTCACTGACATTCCTGTCCTGTTTTAATGTTTTGCTGCTTAGTAACTTTTAACCTCGCCTTTGGAACTTCATTGTCTTTATTTGTAATTTGCAGTTAGTAATTATAGTTCTGTCTTGCATGTTTCTCACAATTATTGTCTAAGTTCTCAGCAAATGTATACTAAGTGTAAATCAATATGAAAAGTAAATATCTTATTTTTTAAAATAGCACTTTTGGTGGAGGGTACTGGGGATCGAACTGAGGGCCTCACGCTTGCCAGGCCAGGCACTAAATTCCCAGCCCAAATATAGCACTTTAAAAAATCATAAAAACCTCTTCTGGATGAGGTTCAGATTGAGCCTACTCTGTGCTGAATTCTGCTTTCTGTTTAACAGCCTAAGCCTTTAACAACTCTTTCCAGTTTCCTCTCTCAGCTCATCTAGAGGGTGGTGGCAGAGGTTTTTTTTTTTTTTTTTGAAGGACCACTGGAATTTAAAATATTTATGCATATGAAGGTGTAGCAGCTGTAGTTGGTACCTTGTCCATATTTCTGAGGAGTTTCTCTGGTAAATTTTCCAAAAGTTTACAGATCACACACTTTGTACACTTTGACACTTTATACAGTACAAGCTTTAAGTGGTGGGTGTTAATTCCCATTACCTCCTATAATTAGCCCTCAACCAAAGACTAAAGAGTGTTGAGATAAAAATACCCTTTTGAATAGACTGAATGAAGCGTGTTCCCTACTGGCTCTGCGATCCGCAGAGAGGGGACACTCAGTTGTCCATGGTGGTAACTAATTTGAGAATCCATTTTTTTTCTGCCTTTCCTATCCTGTGTCATATTCTCATTTCTCAATCCATGTTTCATAGGATCACCTCACCAACATGTAATAAATAGCAATAAATTCCCATCTTAGTGTGTTCTTGGGGAAGCCTAAGCTAGTTCAAGATTCTGGTGATGGTCAGCTAGAGAAATCATTAACCAGAGAAAATACAGTAGTATCATTCAAGACTAAATAAATAGCTTCTCTCTGTCTGTCCTTCTCATTTGCTGCTATGTTAGGAACAGGAAAAGGGATCTTATAAACCTGAGAACCAGCTGCTGGAGAATGATTTCCTTCTTCTGGGAACAGGCATCTCCACAAGCTGTAAGATATTTTTCTTTTAAATGAAAGACTCCAATAGCATGTGAGATCAGGGAAAAGTCACCTGATGGCAAATCAAATTACAATGTACCAGCTAGAACAAGTAATTAAATAGAAGGGGATAATGGGAAAAGGAGAAAGTCACAGTCCCAAAGCCCCCTCTCACCTCTTCAGGATCTCAAGGACTCCTATTTGCCTTTGAATCCCTTCTGCTTCAATTAACATTGATTGAGCCTGCCTGAAGTGCCTGGCTCTTGTCAAATCCCATTATGGGAGAGTTCAAGATACTATCTGTCTGCAAGTCTTTGTTGTGCAGACATTTTTGTGGCAATCTTGAATATTTTGTGGACTAGGTAACACATTGATCAGAGCTGTTATATAAAAGGTTTGCTTTTCCTGCCATGGCAGTTTTGTAAGTGGGCTTTCCTTTTTTGTCATTATCATTATCAACTCAAACCAATTCTCTAAGTTCAAGTTACGATGCTCTAAAAAGTGTGTCACACTGACCCACTACTGCTTTTAAAGATAAACATTGAATCTGGAAAATAAGGAAATGTGACTGCATCCTCGTTACAGCTATTACACACCAAATTACTGTTTTTGCTGGGAAGGGACCCACAAACATGTTTTATTTTCCTCTGTGGAATTCCTAGTGCTTATTTTATTTGGTGTTTATTTTATTGGAGAGATAAATGGAATTACTGCATGCATGAGACTTCTTTCTCTCTTCTTACTCTTTGCTGAGGTTGTAGGTTGGGCTATATTCTATTCATCATTGTTTTCAATTTGTGGCTGATCCTTATGAATATCCAATGCACCTTTACTCAAAATAATTGAAGTCAGTGGTGGAAAATATTTATTTCTTAGCTTTTGTCTTGAATTTTATTTTAAGTCAACAGGAGTATGCAACTAGCCTTGTGTTGTTTACCTGGGTTATGGAAAAAGTTAAGCTCTGTTCTTGTCTTTGGATATCTGCTTAGGCGGTGAGGGGTAAGATTCCTATGAGAAAAAAAAATTGAGAATGACTTTCTCCTTAGGCTTTTTGATGACCAAACACTTTGTTTACATAGAGAAGAACCCTACTACTGGTGCCTTTCTAATATTCACATTTTAATCTTATTAATTTTTATGTCTTCTTCTAGCACTTAAATGCTAATTTTGCCATTCATAAAGCATACTTCATGAATAAAAGCATCTTATTTAATGCAGATTATAATTAAGCAAATTCTCCTAAATATTTCAATAAAATCGTTATTAATTTTATTTAGAAGCTGTCTAAACTTTAAAAGCAAAAGATGTGTGTATGCATGTCTACACCCATGCCCAAATAATTTCAGTGTAATTTCATATCTACCGTTAAACTATTAAAGAATGTGTACACTGTGGGTTGGATTTAAACTTGTTTACACTTTCATGGTTACATATACTTCCACTGTTTATATTTTAAGACTCCAAAGAAAAGTGAGTACAGTCTCAGACTAGCTGATTTGCAAAATCTGAGTGATCAGCCATTTAATTTTTGGTTAGCACATCGGGTCTTGCTGGATCCCTTCAGAGCTTTTTATTTTTTTCCTGGCCAGAGTTTTTTCTGGGAGTCAAGGTTCAGTTGCTCTGGCGATGGTCCTTGGAAGCCTTGGTCTTGCACTAGAATTGTGGGGCCTCCCTTGAGAGTTCCCTGTCCATCAGATTTCAGTTCCAAGCAGTGAGCCTTCACTTTGTGATACTGTGGGTTCCCGGTATTTTCGATAGAAACATCAGAATGTTCCTTATCCAAGGGATATAGGATGAAATCTGGATGACAGATTACCTTCTTGGGCTCACTACTTCATGCATCAGCTACCAACCAGTAGGCCCTCCCTCCCTCCTTCTTTTCTTCCCTCCCTCCATCTCTGGCAGTACTGGTGGTCGAACCCAGGATCTTGGTACTTAGCTGCACCCTGAGCCCTTTCTACGTTTTACTTTGAGATTGATTCTTGCCTCAGTTAGGCTCAAACTTGCATTCTCCTGTCTCAGCCTTCCAGGGTGCTTTTTTATTATTGTCAGTGATTATAGGTGCCAATAACTCATCTGGCCTTCCAGAA